GAGTTAAGGAAAAATTTAGAGAATTCAATTTAATTTAAAACAATACTTATTTTTGGCATCATCAAAAAGGGGGAGATTGTTAATATTGTTGCAACTTAGTTATTTATTGTTGATATTCTTACAACATATTTGTTTTTTATGATTCCTATATTATTATTTTAATTAATTATTTCTCCTAACATATTTTAGATGCACTGCTTTATTGTTTGTGAGTATTAATATTTTAGGAAAATAATACTCCAAATTTTTTAAGACTTCAAACTAGATTACTTTTTAAGACTATTGTAAATGGAGTCTATAATTTTTCACTTTATATAGTTAAAAAGGTTGTGATTATAATTGAGTAAATGTGCACAAACACACAGGGGGAGAGATTAAAACTTCAATTTTTTAAACTAATCATACTGTACAAATTAACTTCATACAGAACGATTTGTTCAGTTATTTTCATGGACGACCAATCAAATGAATATAAATGAAAATTTTTCTAAGTATAAATCATAGTGTGCAAACACAGTTCGTACATACCTTCACGAGTATGAAATGGACGGGTTTCAGGTCGCGTAAAAATAATTTTCTAAGTATGGATCATTCTGTAAGAACATGGTTCGTAGATACCTTCCAGAGTACGAAATGGACCAGTTTCTGGATGTATAAAATAAATTTATCTAAATATGGATCGTACTGTATGAATCATGTTCGTACAAACCTTCTATAGTATGAAATGGACAAGTTTCTAGTCGCGTAAAATAAAATTTTCTAAGTATGGATCGTACTGTACGAACCCAGTTCATACATGCCTTCCAGAGTACCAAATGGACGAGTTTCTGGTCACATAAAATAAAAATTTCTAAGTATAGATCGTACTATACGAACCCAGTTTGTACATGCCTTCCCAAGTATGAAATTATGAGATCCATTTTTGTCCCGACCTTTCGTACAAACGAATTTTTAAAATTTTCTAACTGTTCGTCCCGGACGAACTTGGTTCGTACCGGACGATAATCGTGTACAAAATGATTTCATACCGATTCACGACAAGTTCATAAGAAACAATTTTAAAACTGTTCGTACGTACGAAATACGATCGTACTGTACGATCGTGTACGTTCAAAATTAAAATTTTTAGTTTTCTGGATAGTTTTTCGTATCTTGAGTATAAAAAGTCTACTAAAACTGACATGAAAAAATCTTATCTTCGTGATTTTTCAAAGGTAATTGAAAGAGAGAATGTTTAAGAGAGATTTCATACAAGCAGAGTGTGAAGGGTTCACAGGGTTACTCAAAGGTAAGGAACTTAGTGTGATTTGTGTTTTTTCAATCTTCCTCTTGTCTTTCTAAATTGCTCGTGAGAAGATCTTTGAAGAAGATCCGGTTCTCTGCCGGCTCTTGGAAAGTGTGAACAGAAAATGATTCTTTGCCGACACTTGGAGAGTTTGAACAGACTACAGTTATCTACGGACACTTGGAGAGAGTGACCAGACGACGGTTCTCTGCCGACTCTTGGAGAGTGTGAACAGACGACGATTCTCTACCGATACTTGGAGAGTCTGAAAGGACATCCGTTCTCTGCCGCACCGAGGATTGGTGGAAGAGAGTTTGGTAAACGCTTCTCCGCCTTGTTGTGGGGGTAAAAGGAGACATTTTTTTTAATAGTGCAATACCTAAAAAGGGAGTTTTCAAGGAGTGAATGTAGGTAGTGTTTGATCAAACCACAATAAATCTTTGTATTATTTAAATTCCTGCATTTTATCTACTGAAGTTATTTTTTTGTGGTTAAAAATTTAATTTTCAAAAATTATCAATTCACTTGCTACGAATCTTTAAAGTTTTCAATTTTTAAAATCCAAGAATATTTTTTTTTTAATTATCAATTCACTCCCCCCTTTTATTTTTAATTCCCCCCCCCCCCCCCCCCCCCCGGCGGCTCTCTCTTGGTTAGCCTTGAGACATTAGCTTAAGTTTAACAACCTAATCAATATTCAGGAATGGATGCCCTTTATCCAACCCTACCACCTCATCGTGCAAGATGGAGACCCCATCTGAAATTTATTCCTTCCCACGAGCGACGTCGATCTACTATATTGTGAAATCCCTTAAGTAAAAGATAGCTATACTCTTAAACATCCAGGCACCTTTTAGTGTAATGATTATAATTTCATTTAAAAAACTTTGTTGTTAAGCGTACTCATTCCAGAGAAAATCTAGGATGTGTGAAAGCCAACATGACAAAATCGTAGGCTCCTAAGCCATAATAGACAATATCTTGATAATTTAGAGTTTGGGTTGTTACATTGAGAACACTTAATAGCACGAGAGTTCAAGATAGAATGATAAAATGAGTGAAACCCATGAATTCCTATTTATAATCATGGTTAGCATACAATGCTTTGGGGATTAGCATTGCGGTGCCAAAACACATAAGATGATATATTAGTCAAACTAACAGACATTGTAGTGGAAGGATACATGTGGAGCAGCGATGCTTAGTTTTGGAAATTGAAGCATCACTTTATGTATGGGAATCCCCTGCAATGTTGACACATATGAGTGTTACGTCATTTGAAAAGACTAACAACACAGCATTGCAACCAAACTAATAATGATTTTGACCTAATGCCGTAGTGTTGGCAATAATGTTGTGACGCTCACCAAAGTTCCATAATCGAAATGCTATGATTCATATGGTTACTTTTTGAATCATCAGAGTTGCCTTTTGACTTTCAGACCTGACACCACAACACCGAAATATGTAGCATCAAGGCGCTGAGTGAGTAATCTTAAGCATTGTGATATTCAAGTAAATAGCACTGCGATAGTTCAAATAAGTATTTTTCTCGAGAGTTAGCATTGCGGTGCTAATTTTGAATGCCTCAGTGCTCATCATGTGAACTTTATAGCACTTCACTCCCAAGCATTGTGGCACTATATTAATTTTTAGCACATCAATTTTCCTCAGGACTTAATTATAACTTTTATCAAAATCTAATTTAGAACATACAAATAATGCAATAACATTTAAAATAATAAAGCATAAAACTTAAAACATGAAAACTATAATAAATTAAAAAGCATAATATAAACAAATATGGGTTGCCTCCAAGACAACGCTAAGTTTATAGTCTTGAATCAGACTTACCTATATTTATCAATTTAACTAGGGAACATCACTACCACTTTTCAAGAGATTTACACTACAGCATTTCTCTACTCAATCTACCCTTCCCCTTATCTTAATCTGAAACAAATGTAGAAAGTAGACATAAGCAACCACAACTTAGAAGGTCACCTTAAGCCTACCTAACTTTTTAATATTAAATAGTAGGAATGAAGCAGAAATGGCAAAGTAAATTCATCAGTACAAAAGTTTAAACAGATTACTCATAACAAATAGATATCTATAAAATAGGAAATAGTATATCTATCACACCAATAATAAGAAATAGAATAATGAACATATCACATTAATTGTTAAGTGTAGAATACATTCATTTCACTCTGACCTTTATACCACATAATTGATATAGAATAGATTTTAGACTCTTAAGACTCTCACTGCATAATATTTAGATATTTAGAATTTCAAGCCATTATGATTCTCATTCAAATATAAAATTCAGAATCTCAGGATTTCATGTCCTTAGTGTGCATAGCACAATATAATCTATAAATATCATCAGAACTTCACCAATTCACATATTTCAGTTATTTATGCACAAAACGTTCATAATTTTAAATATAATCAACAATAAGAGACTTATTGCAAATTTTGTCATAAAATGCTCTACTAGCAATGCCATAGAGAGAAATTCCGATGAAAACTACACAATTTTATTAATTCAAAAATTTATCACATTACCGCATATTGTTCATAACTATATTTCAAAACTTTTATACTACAACAATATTTTTCAACATCGGAATATTTTCTAGATTGTTAATTTCTAGATTGTTAATGTGCTGGTATTTTCAGAACTGTCCACTGAGAATTCACTCATAAAATGCCAGGATGTGCATGATATTGATAACAAAAACATATCAAAACTTACAAGATTTATTCAATGATTGAATATACCCACTGTGTCAAAATTTTAATTAAAATATAAAAAGATTTTGAAAACTCTAAAATATTAGAAGTTGAGATAGACAAAATATAACCTACTTCAACTCAAATAATTTCTCAATCTGACTCGATAACAAAAAGGACATGAAGCCACCTAAAACCCACACATTCTCTCAAAGCACACTATTTGGCATTGATATAGATTTACATTTTGACTTTGTGAAAATGAGTAGACACCGTGGCATTTAGAGACCCAAAGTCATTGCATACCCTTTAGAAACAAGAATTTCTAGGAGAACAATGCCACAACATGCAAACTAGCGCCGTAATGCTTCAAGCCAAACCTAACGCCACAACATCATTATGATCCAAGAGACAATTTTTCCTATAAAATACACAGAACTTAGTGCCGCAACCTTATGCACTATGTTGCTCCCAAGAAAAAGTTTCAGATATTCACTTCACACACAAACCCCCACTCCAAAATAATATAATTGTCTTATCCCAAATAACTTCTCTATCAAATCTATGCTTCCACTACACTTCAAGCATTGGAATATATTTACTAATTAACTTCCTAACATCATATGTCAAAATCTGTGTTCTCTTTTACAGCTCTAATTAGATTCCACTTCAACTTCACTTTCAAAAATCTTACTCGTAATATAAGAAACCCGTTTCATTAAAAAGGACACATGAAATACAAAAGTGAATTGAATTTCCTTTCAAAATCAGATTTTCAAAAAATCAATCTATCATCCAAGATGAATTAATCCAAACTGAATTAAACGATTGATTTAATAGTTGATTGGACAGATGGGTGGTTTACAAACCTCTAATTTATTGATAGAAGCAGCAAAAATGCCTTAATTCGAACTAAAGAAATTCATCAGATAAAGAATAACTAACAGTTTATAAAGTAGAAACAAAAAGCAAATTGTGGCAGTAATGCAGATCCTGAAAAAGCTTGAATTGTCAAGGAAGAAAACATGCATGTGAATGGTATAACAAATAATGGTACAAATCCTCCGGGTCATTATAATACAAATATTGCACAAACATTAGCGTGCTTTGTTCACAAAATCGAGCCAAGAGAACCATATGACAAACATTTGAAAGCCACTGAGAATTCAGTAATAAGTTCATAGCATCTTATGAATAGCTTTCATGTCAGAAACCTCATGGAGAGTACCTTTCTCCACATGATCCCACCATTTCATTAGGAAATTGTCGACAACCAGCCTGAACCATGGCGAGAGTTTAATGCCGTCCTCCCCAGCTTTGGCTTTCCGCAACAGCTCATTGAGTTGGGCTCTATTCACATACATAACGCCGGCAACTTCATTTGGATTTGGATTCAGCTTGACGTCGCGGACAACAAAAAGTAGATAATCTACTGCAATTAAAATGACATTTATTGTTAAAATCATGCTAGTTAAATAAAATTAAAATCGAGAGCTCGTTGGACAAAAATGCATCAGGACTTGTTTAAAATAGCAGGACATATTGTAAATACTAGATGTTTATATGAGACGTACAATTTTCTTTTTCTTTTTTTTTGGTAATATAATAAATATATTCAAAATCATTGTTTTTTCTTAAATAAAATTATGTTGTCTATATAAATTTAAAAATATCCTACTGCTTTGAGTAAAGCCTTGCATTCCTGATGCATTTTTGGATGACAAGCTCCTTAAGCAGTTTTTTTTTTTTTCTTTATTGTTGCCAAAAGAAATCATTAAATTGAAAAACCAAATCATCTTAAAAAATAGTTCGGTCCACTTGTGAGTTCGGTTTAATTTGTAATTGTATAAACAGATTGAATTACTTAAGTTTAATTTAGATTTTTGATAAACTGTACAAACCAAACTGAACGGATTATGCTAATATGCTAAGTTTTAAACTGAAAATTGCCTGTGAAATATGAACGCATTCAACATATGGTTAAACCAAACCATACCAATTTAGCATATAGTTATGTCCACCTGCGAATGATTTCTGCATTTTCTGATTGGCTTGAATGGGTCAAATTAAAAACATGATCATCTTAGAACCAAACTAAACCATAGATATCCTTGCTAATAATAAAGAGTTTGGGTAGTAGATTGTAAGATAAGCTTGTGAAAAGAGTGACTTACGCTCATGTTCCCCCCATTTTCCATCGGATGGGGCCTTGTAAAGAATGCGTCCAACAGGAATGAACTCTTCAACAGGAAGGTCCTCTGGGGGAATCCCAAGTTCATCTAATAGCTTCCTCTGTGCAGCATTTCTAACCCCTAAGTATGCTTCAGAAATTAGGAGTTGACAAGTTGTGAAAAACAGAGAAGAGTAGAGCAGGAACTGATACAGAAAATTACCAAGAAAATTCTCCTCTATAAGCTCAGATTCACGATAGAGAGGATGGCTGCAACAAGCATTTGTCCATACCAAAGGAAAAGTGACCTTTGTAGCAGATCTTTGCTGTGCAGGATGAAGGGTTATCAGCAGTACTTTCAACCTTTCTTAAGAAAATGGAAGTAATCTATCTGCCTAATATATTAAGGGGCTGAGGAAAAAAAACGCCTGTCATTTTAAAACCTCACACAAGAAGATAGCTTCATTTTAAAACGAGACTCATTATTTTGAATTTTGCACTCTCCCGGTGGGAGGAGTTGGTGTTTTTTTTTTTTCTTTTATGTTAAAACTAGAGTAATAAATTAAGTAATAACGATTTAATAAAGTTAATATCTTTTGTTATCTTATATCTACATAACTCCATTAATTATTACATTTTTTAAGAAAAATCAATTTCACTCTCAAACTATTAAAAGATTTAAATTTTTTTATTTTAAATATTTGATGGTTTTATAAATGAGAATTTCTATCGACTACAAAACCTGACAAAATAAGAGTCCTATTTCAATATGGAGCTCAATCAATTTTTCTTTTAGTTTTTTAGCATTCTTAGGAGGGAGTTTATTTTTATTGAGTCAAGCAATAAAGTACAAAAATTAGTTTGAAATTAGAATGTCTCTCACACATTTAAAAAAATATATATTTCTTTCTATCCAAAATTATGACCAGGCCACTCTCTCACGTCCAACAAATCCTAAAAATTATTACACTTTTCAGTTTAAAGTGTGAAATGATGAAAGAAAATATCACAACTACCGAACTTTCAAACATACAATAAAACATTATTTATGTATTATGTACACTCTTCAATTATCCATTTTCTCCTTTGTTATTATAAGGAATCTATTGCAAATATTTTTCCTCGTCATATTATTCAAATGTTTAAACTAATACTAAATCTCATTTTAAACGTACTAACTTTGACATAAAGGGGGAAGTGAATTAAACTAGTGATGTAATTTCGAATATTATGATTTTTAAATTTATTACAAAATATTCTAAAATTCGTTAAAGGCCTAAACCAATTTTGAATTTAATTTTATTACAAAAATTCATTTCTTTTTACTTTAGCATAATAGTAAAATCATATAAAACATATTAAATTTACCCAGCTAAATTAGACTACGCATAATCACCAAGAAGAATAATAGAAAAGGATGTCAAGGCATTCATGCATGTTTTTGTGAAGTACTTAAGGGCTAGAGTTAGGTCACTCAAAAGCTCTTTTATCATTGAAATACAGGGCTTTTAGCAGATAAATTCCTTCAACTTGATGAGTATAAACCTAATGAACTGAGTTATTCTTTATAAGAATGTCACAAGGTTAAGAAACAAATCCTAACAGCAAGAAAGAAAAATACTCATCCTTAATATTCAAAAACCTGAAGCAGCAACTCATATTTGGAGTTAAACAGGAAACAACTAAAGGCCCTGTGAAGCAAATTTTCCTTCTCAATTTTCTCCATCAAATGGCCTATAAATTGGCAGAAGTCAATTAGCATAAAATCAAAACATCGTTGCTGAAGTTACAAAAAGCTAAATAACAAATATAACGACTATTCATTTCTAATTATTAGAGAAATCAAACACTTCATCTATAGAGAACCTTCTATTTGTGTTCTCTCATCAAAATGAAATACTTGATGAATGAATAGAGCCGTTGAACGTACTAATATACAAATATTTATCATAACGTAATTGTACTCAAAACTTGGAAAGTATTGATCAAAAAATATTTAGGGGCTGTTTGGTTGCCTGAATTAGGAGTGTAAAGTAAAACAATTACATGTATTTACTAAATTTGGTTGTTTGGTTAATTTTGAGCGGAACAAAGGAAATCATCCGAAGTATTAGGCATGTATTAGAGAGTATGTTTTACGCGAATTAGAAACCCGCTATATTGAGCGGGTTATAAATTCATCGGAAGAAAACCTTGAAATCGTCGTCGTGCTGTTCGGCTTCATTGCACGAGAGGCTTCTTCGCCTCCTTTGTTCTTGTTCGACTTCGCTCCGGCGAGCAGCTCCGGAGAGACTTCGCTCCGGCGAGCAGCTCCACTCCGTCGCCCTCAAGTCCGACCTTCTCCGCTCCAACCTCTTTGTCAGCAACTCCCTCATCCACCTATCGTCGTCGTGCTGTTCAGCTTCATTGCACGAGATGCTTCTTCGGCAAATTAGGGTTCGCAACTTTGTGCAGTCGAACTGGCAAGCCTGCCTCATCGCAGCTAATCTCTCGCTCAGCGCCCAGGCAGCCAGAAGAAGAGCGAACATGTTTTATAAAAGGCCGGTTTTTCACTCCTTGATCGGCCGAATGCGTGGTTGCAGCTTATTCTCTACTTCCTCGAAGCAGGTCAGCAGCGGAAAGAGCTTTCTCCTCCGCTGGGAGATATACCGATCTTGCTTCTTAGCCTCACTGGTGGATTCGCTCTCAATGCTGTTAATGACATTGTGATCTTTCAGGGATGCAACAAGTACTGATATCTTCTTTCCTCGCATCTGTTAAATTTTTTTATTTTATTTTTTTCTGTTGTGTGAATACATAGGAGAGTATGGATTGTAAACCTCGTATGTCATTTATGTGCATTCTTCAGAGAACTGTAATGCTGCACTACTCCAAAAAAGATTCACACTTGAAATGTGGTAAATTAGTTGCCATTGATTAGTACTATAAAAATATTATATGACCGCTCTTAAGTAAATTTTATTCGGATATAATGGGTGTAATTTAAGTGTAAGAATTTCACCAGATATGAAATTATTTATTTATTTATAAAATGTTTTTAACAAATAATTTTTTTATTTAAATATAAGATTTATAAGATATAGCAAAAAGTAATGTAATATAAGTTCTTTTGCCCAAACATAATACTTTTGTTGCAAGCATAATGTTTTATCATAAAAAATATTTTTAACTCGAAGATTAAATATTTTAATATGATACTTGATCCATATTTGAAAATTCTTTAAGATCATTAATTGACTTTAACAAGCTACAGAAAATGATAGAAGACGACTTTAGTGTCAGAAGCCACTAGATCTGCAGATGCAATGGTGTTCACCGAAGGTAGTTCTCTTCCCTGTAAAAAGTAATTAAAAATTTAATTTTACTTTACTCTGGATATACCTAACCAAACAAGGGAAACAAATCTCCTGCATTTCTTTTGCAGACAACCAAACAGAGTAAAGTATTCAAAATGCATTACATTTACTTTACATTACATTTACTTTACACTGCATTTCATTTTCAGGCAACCAAACAACCCCTTAATCCGTGGGAACTCATCTATGTTCTCCTTTAGTTAATCTCAATTTATTGTTTAAAGCTTTTACTGATTTGTATTAATTTTTAGTCTATATAATTTCATGTATTATTAACTATTTGCAATATCAAATATACCCTAATCTCCTCATCACATGCATGTTACGAGCCCTACCCGTTCTCAACTCATTACGACCCCTACCTCTCTTGACACCTCCCTACCGTAATATGATTATTGCTTAAAAGAATCTGGTCAATACTTCACTACACGCAGTTATAGAAATGTATTTTATTAATAACTAATGCCATTAGACAATAATCAAATTGAGAAAATTCAACAGATGTCCAGTAATATCCATATATAGTTTTCCAATTAGAATGCTACAAGAAAATTACTAAACCAGAGGAAGAGAGAGAATGAGAGAACTGCAAGAAGAAAATCTTATTTAACAAGACAAATAGGCATCATTTGTAAATGAAAAAACTTAAGTATAAATGCCCGTCAAATCAATGACAGCAATTTAAATTACTCAACATTCTGTATCATCAATGATATATTACTGAATTTTTTCATCATATAGAGTAAGAGAACAAAAATGGAAAGGATGTTTGAGATTAAGAAGCTTCTCAAGAATGGCATTACAGCTAAAATACCTGTCTCTTCTAATAATTTATGCAAATATATTAAAAAATAATCTGCAATATGAAACCTAGAGTTTGAGAAGCCATTACATTACAGGAATGATTTCTAAGAAAAGAATGGTACATATTTAGTGTTCCCTTAAGAATGAAACTCTAGTTTACTTACCACATAAGGTTTAACATAGATGCAATAAACTATGCTCAAACAATGATTTTTTACTTACAGTTGTATTTTGAATCATGTCCAACAATATTATCATGTTCATCAACCAAAATGCACCTGTATGGCCCCAAATGTAATATAATTATAATCAGAAATTCAATATCTTAAAACATTTCCTTCAAGAATTGGTAAACTGGATATTATCAACATTAATGTGCGTTGAAAGGTGAGTTTGATGGTGAACGTACAGAAAAAATCACAGAAACAAAATGAGAAGAGAAAACATTACAAATAAACAGTAAGCTCCAACTAATGTAATATTCAAGAAAACAAATAAATCTTGAAACATCAGCATCTGGCATCTGCTATTGATATTTGAAAATGCTGATCCGATCAACAATCTCCAATGGCGGAGTTCAGTTAGAAGCGGGCAGTATGCCGTAATCAATTATAATCTTCATTCAAGAAGGTATGAGCAACACGAACAGCTAACTATCTTCATTAAGGATTAAGTCTTCTTTACTCATTTTGTCCGATCAAACAACTTAAACAAGCCGTTTAAATCAAACAAATTAGGCTTTGTTTGTTTGAGCGTTTTTTTGCCTTTTTCGTTTTTGGAAACAGAGGAATTTTTTTTTGTGTTGTTTGGTTCGTCAAATCACGTTCCCAATAACTCCTTTTTTTCATTTTTCTGTAGTTTTGAGAAAACTTTTTATATATGCTTCTCCGTTACAAAACTTCATTCTCTGAACTAATGTTTTTTGAAACTGTCTTTTACAAAAGCACCAAAAAAACAAACGTAGCCTTAATTAATCATTGGATTAAGGGATTTTTGGGAAGGTAGTAAAACCCAGTTGTCCCTTAATCAAACCGATGCTGAGCTTTTACAAATCGAAGAACCAAATATTTAATTCCAAATTTTACGGAAGAAAGAAGTAGACGTACGGTAGAAAGAATTAGAAGCCAAACCATAACATGCATCTTCTAAGCAATAATTTTACAAAAAAATATTATTTGAGAAGTTGCGAAATTCTTTCATATTTCACAATCTTATTAGGAAATCGGAAGCACGTGAAGGAGATCTCCAAATCTATTTCCCCGTTAACTCTATCGCCTTTAAAACTTTCCATATAGGCATAGCAAGATTGTTCCAGCCTTAAGTTTTAAAGCATTTTTTCATCTTTTTCGTCAACGACACTGGAGATCAACCTCCAAGTATTTTAAAAACCTTTTATCTCAAAAAACAAGTAACAAAAAGAAAAATGAAGAAGGAAGCAACGAACTAACTCATCATCGAACATGAGCCGCCTCTGAACGGCGTCCATGGAAGGGTCTTCAACTGAGGTGACCTCTTTTCCCATGGGATCAGCGATGGTAGAAGAAGACGAAAAAGAGGAAAAAGAAGATGAGAAAAAGCTCGTGAGGCGGCGGAGCCGACGAGAGGAAAATCTGCAATTGAAGTTGGCAGGAGTCTTGCTCCTTATAGAGGAAGACGAGGGAGTGGCCCTTCGTGGAATGGTGGATGCTATAGCATGGATAAGAGAGCAAGAAGCCGACATCGGCGCTGCCTGCCGACTCCTTGAAAAAGGCCTTCCACTTCTCTCTCCTGCCCCTCTCTCTCTCTCTCTTTATGGCCGCCGGCTCTCCGGTGAATAACAAGTTTTTATATTTAGGCATAGTTAACAAATAAATTATATGATTAAATATATTTAAAAAAATTAAAAATAAGCATAATTACTTGTTTAACGAACAATTTATTTGTCCGGTCAGCATTTTTAAAAGAAATTTAAATATATATATATATATATATAATTAACAATAGTATAGCAAACGCGACTTGTCATAGTTTACTAATAATTTCTTACATTAAATTAAGTTTTTACATTTAAATGCTATATCAATTCTTGCTCACATTTTTTTTTACATTAATTCATTTTTTACATCTACTGGTCCGTAAAAATTTTTTGGACTCACAAAAACTCGACTGTGAGGTCATCATTCATCCTATAGAACTATTATTCATTCCCCCTCCCCCTAAAAAAAATATTCAACAAGATAATCACATCCATAAAAATAATGTTTGTCAAATCGTAGTTCATACAACGTATTATACTATGAGAAAAATCAGGTTGCATTTACTCCTACAATAAAGGTTGTGAAAATCGGACCAGATAATGAACCAGAAAAAAGAGATGTTCACTATTTGATTGGTTGAATCGGGGTCGAAGCGGATGATGTAATAAATGCTAAATTTTTTTTTTAAAAAAAAATTTACCAAAATAAGAATGCTATCATTATAAATTATGTGATAAAAAATTAAACAAAATATAAAAATATGAATAAAAAATTATGCGCAAATAATTAAAAGAGCACTTTAAAAAAAAATATATAAAGCGTTTGAGTAAATCTCAATTAATTGTACATAATTTCATATCAAGTCAAAATTCAAACATAAATATACAAATAAATCTAGAAATTATCTCCTAGATTTGAAGCATCAAAAGTTATATCCCTAAATACTTCTTCAACAAAACATTCCCTCCAAATGCAACAATATCGTCACTTCCAATTATTTCATGATCTTCTCCATCATCATCTAGGACATCATCATCTGCATAATAAAAATATATATATTGAACATCTCTTTCAAATGATATAACTTAATATAATTGAGAACTTACTTTGAGGTTGTCTAGTATAGCTAATATTTACTTATTCAACAACAACAATGACATCTTCTGCATAAATTTCAGTCTCTAATTTCTCCAAAACAAGCTTCAGAATTGATTCTCCATCAAGCACCTAAAATCCTACTATCTCTCTACTTGTATAATCCAAAGGATCATAGTTTCGTTTTTTTATTTTGAAATCTATAAAATTAATATAAATTAACATAAAAATTTAATGTATTTTATATAAAAAATATTTAAATATAATTAAAAGTCACACAGTCATACCTATGCATCAAATTGAGGTTGTACTGAATAAAAACAAGATCATTAAGTTTTTTATGCTCTAGATGATTTCATCTCTTGGTATAAATTTGTTCAAATACACTCCAATTTCTTTCATATCTTGAAGATGATGATGATTGACTAAGAATTCTAATAGCCAATTTTTGTAATTTTGATGCACTTGATTTGAACATCTTTCACCATTCATCTTCAAACATTTAAGTATTAGTTATTTAATAGGTGATTGATATACATGAAAGAAGAAATTCATACTAAAATATTTTCTTCATTTATCATGCATCATTTCTTTCAACGTCATTAGTGCAATTAGTTAGGCAAAACTTTTTAAATCATCACAAAAAAGCCTAACTTCATTCATTATTGTTGATGGCTTATGACATATATCTTTATTTCAATCAGCTCAATTAGACTTTGCATCACCTTAGGTTTTGTGGTAAGAATTTTCTTTATCATATTAAAAATGGGGATTAAGAAAATAGGTTGCACAATGTATGCCTTTTCTAAGTTGGATATTCCATCTTTTCTTTATAATACTTGTATAAGGTTTGTACATCCTTTTGACATTTACATATATGAACTTAATAGCTCTTTTTGCTCTATACATACCATCATAAAAAAACCCTATAAATGGTTTTTCATTAGAATCTTCAACACTCAATAACTAAATTAAAGTCCTAGATAATTTGGAAGCTAGCAAACAATTATTCCAAAATTTATTATCTAAAATGATTGATGATACTTATTTCTCTTCTACTGTTTTGGATATCTTTGAATCAAAGAAAACTTTGTTTGAAATAAAAGCTTGTAAATAGAGCTTGTGATCTTATATGCTTTTTAAAGTTATAAATATTATAGTGAATCTAGTAGCTCCAAGCCTAACAATTTCCTTCCAACAAGCTCTTCTCTTAACCAAGCTAAAATAAAAATATGGTTATAAACAAAAATTGTAGCTTTTGATGCTATTTTGGCAAGATCCTGAATGTGAGGCATGTTTCCAATATCTTTAAAAATGATATTTAAGCAGTGAGCATAGCATAAAAACTAATATATATTGCTAAATCTTTCACGTAGAAGTTCTCATACCTTCTTATAGTATGCAACAAGATTTGTTACAAGCTGCATAATATTCTATTGCGCTACCTATTCAACAACCTCACAAAATAATGAACCAAAGTCTTGGAATCCTTCGTAATATCAAAAGCATCCATATATTTCAAGAGTGTTACACCCCTTGGATAATAAATAACAAAATTAATCAAGTTCATCTTCCTCTAATCTGTCCAACCTTTCAGCCATGAGTGTGTAATCTATTTCTATCCATAATCTTCTATATGAATCATCCAACAACTTACAGTTCTCTTTATAATGTCTCAAAATATTAACTTTCGATTTGTAGTATGATGGTTACTTGTACCTAGGTCCCATTGCAATTATAGTATCAAATATCTTTTGTGCAAAGGCAGACTTTATGACATTAAAAGGGATGTAACTGTTATAAAACTACCTCGCTATTGCCAAATAAGCATGGTGTATGACTTCTTTGGATGTCATTACACTTCTCAAGGATGATTGAGAACCTGCTATAGTACTTGGTGCAAAAAAAAATTCTATGTCATTTATCTTTCTCTTCCCTCTATCAACGCCTTCATGGTGTTCATTAGAGGATTATGACTTGGGAAGTGATGAAGAGCCCATTCTTCATCCATATGTTCATCGACAACACAATTGTGTTCTACTCTATATCCTCCTGGGCTTGTTTTTTCTTGGGTATTTCATTCAGATATTCTTGCATTTGGTGACGAATGTCATGTGGGACTTTTTTGCACGAAGCTATGTTAGATCTAATTCCTGCTAGATGTAATTTTATCCTAATACTACCTCCACCTTTATAAATAATCCCATAATGTAGGCATTTAAATATTTTTTTTTTCATCTGGACCTTTACTTTAGTACAATAATTCTAAGTAATATTAACCTTCTCATGCATACTATGTGATGAAGTTATTAATGGATCCATTCTAAAATAAAATTAAATGTTTAATACTCGTATTAAAATGAAATTCATAGTACCTATTGTTAAAAAAAGACTTGGTTATGAAATATTAGAAATGATCTTTTTAAGAGAACATCAAAAACTAGTTTGAAGATAAATGTAAGTTTCAACTTAAATGCAAGTTTGAAGATAACATAAATTTCTAAATTAGAAGCTATACATTCAAATTACAAATCAAACAAGCTATAAGTATTATCATCAAGAAAAGGATTAGTTTTCTAAAAGAAATGTGGATCTAAAATGATTCAGTAAAAAAAAAAGGTTGGCATCAAGCATTCCCTTAAAATTTAAAAACATTTTCAACAAAGAAACTTAACTAGAAAATAGACTCAATTCAGACCATGACATTTTTGCATTCCATTAAAATATAGAAATCCTTTTGGACACAAAAAATTAACATTGCACAAAATATCAAGTAATGCAAGTTGAAAAAACACGGATAAGTAATGGAATGTGATGGGTGTCATCTCTCTTTTAATATCAAGTCTTTAAATATAAATAAATTTTCAAAGTGTAATTTTAGGGTCTTTAATAATCTCAAAGTCAAAACACACAATTCTTTAAATTTGTTAATGGATTCAATAACAAGATTGCATCAATGCCATATAAACAAATTTCAAATTGATAAAAGAAACAAAAAATAAAATGATAATCCTAAAAAACCAAAACAAATACTAAACATCGAGATGTAATGTCATCAATTATATTAAAATTTCTAATTGAAAAAATGCAAGAGAATTTGAGGATTCATATATTAAAAAACTCCATATGTTTTATGTCTGTAAGTTTCTAGGGCCTTTTAATAAAACTAGGTTTTTAGCTCTACCCTAATCATATGAAATTAGAGAAATCCTAATAAGAAGAGTGGTTATTCAAAGAACACCCAGTGGAAAGAACAGAACAAGTGTAAGATTCTAGGGATACAAACTCACCAAATGATGACGTGCGCATGAAAGAAGGCATAGTTTGTCTCCTAGTCGTTTGTCCATCTCTCTCAGTCGTTCTACCAATAGTTAATCTCTCCTAGTCCTTCTCTGTGTAGGTTTTGTTAAAGAGAGCCACATAAAATGAGGTTTTGGTTCAACTTATTTGTGACAAAGATCTGTGTAAATGCATAAAACCCTATTTCAGTAGTTCAATGTGCGATCAGTGGCTCAAATCACATGATTTTGAAATCGACTGAAAATATGCCCGGTCCGACGGTTCAATGTTTCAACTGCCCATTGAAATAGTTTTAGCTAGTGTAACTGTAACCTAACTCTAATAATAGAACTGGACTGGCTGCCAAATCGGTTCTCGGTTTAACCGGATGAATTGGCGAGCTCGGTTGGTTTTAAAATTCATGCCTGCAACAAAAAACTTGGTTACAGCTCACAAACGCCTTTTAGAGAATTTGAACCTTTAAAATCATTGTAAAAACTATTATAACATAAAAAGTAAATATAAAAACTAAACATATGTGGCATTCCACGCACATCTAGCATCTCAAACACCAAAAAAAGAGGAATATAGAAACACAAAAGTCTTTGATGACAGAAATATCATAAAAAATTTCTTCACAGATATAATCCCTCCATACAACATCTTCAATTTAGTTTGTTTAAAAAAAATGTAAAAAACTTG